CATTCATTTGCATGACTACCCATATGGTTCAGTGGATATGTACAATGTAGGCAATGTGAGAGATCGATGGTTCGAATCAAGTACGGTTAGTACGATTTTTGATTGCTCGTAAAAACATTGATCCCATAAGTAGGACTTAAATCCTGTAGGGAGGGAGCAACAACAGACACGAGGATCAATGCTGCTCTCAAAATGGGTCCCTTTTGTATTGACCCCCTAAGGATTGCTCATCCCCTTTTCTAACTCTTCCCCCCTAAAATAATATATCGCCCCTTTTAGAATGTATTGATCCACAAATTAATAAATATTCATGAGCACAGAAACTGCTACGTCATGAATAAATTGGCATAATTAAAAAAATTTTACATAAAGTGTAGGTACTCCTTCTGGAGTCCTGCCCGCTTAAGATATACGGAGCGTAAATTGCAGAGAAGCTATGCGTAATCCAGATAATACGAATCGTCATGCGTTTGGGGCGGCATGGCCCCCTGCCCCCCCCTCTGGATCCGCCACTGCATGAGTGGGTGTGTGAAAATAAACGTGACCTTTTAAAGATTGATTCGATTCGATCGCAAAGATGGATACTTTAACTTTCAAGTGCAAATGCGATACTTTCATCCATGTTTACTGAAAACAAGTCGATTTAAATCTCCAATGTATATAAGTAGTCTTTCAAAATCGCCGGTATCTCAGAAGTGAAAGGTCACGTACATTAACATAGACGTATACAGCTGCACTCTGATTCGTTGTCAATGCTAGTCAACATCTTTAATAGACCATTTTCCGTTCACTGCGAGAATCACGCGTTATGCGTGAAATCGAACGTAAAAACAGGACAAACAAAGGTCATAGCGTCGTAGTGGCGTCAAACATCGCGTGGGATTCGACAAACGCGAAAGTATTTTGGGGACATTTCCATGCTTAATAATGTGCTGTCCACATTTGATGATAGGCAATTTCGATTAAGTGAAGGGTATTCGGAAGCAATATTCCTCTGTCGAAGATCGGCCGGTCGATGTGAGCTACGAAATAAGGAAATTCGAGTTCAAGATCAAATCGTTCGATTTTTGCGGCAGACGTTCGACGCGCGTCTTTCATGCATCTCGCGAGATCTCGCAATTGTACGGAAAATCACCTATTAGCATAATCATCGGAGTGATTCCGCTTCGGTTTTTACACCAACGCAGGGGGTCGCCTGAAGATGCGTCCAGTCGGGATTTCTTTCGCAGTCGCGCTAGTTTTCGCGATCACGTTAAAAAGGTTAAATTGACAATTATATTTTTTTTCTTGTAAAACAAAAACGAAGTCCCGACTTTGCCAGTCTATATGAATGTGCGCGTGGCTGCTTTAGCTCATTCATGACAGCCCGTGTATTTCGTACTTGTTTCCAAGGAAACGCTGTTTATAACTGACTAGTGACATTGCACGGAACCGTAATAAACAAATATACCACAACAGGTGTGAAAGCTCTTCACACAGGACTATTCTTCACCTTTTCACCACCAGACTTTCTCGACCAAAATTTTTCTGCACTTCGCCACTTTTTCTCAATATTTCCGGAAATGATCCTTAATTTTGGAGCCAACAGACATAATTTGGGTAAATTTTCATTTTTTACTCAAAAAAAAAAAAAATGGCTATTTTCGTCCCAATCTTCTGAAAACAAGTGCAGACTATAAATAGGACTACTAGTATTTTTTTGAATTTGTGAGGGAAGTGGGAACTGGTGGGGAAAATGTTAACCTGTGTGTGAGTCTATTGCCCTGTGTCGTGTCGTGTAACCTGTCCAGTGATTGTGAAACAAACCAATTTCACGAGTCCCGATGGGTTGATCTGAGTCGATGTTTTGTTTCATCTCGATTCAATGTTGTTCACAGAATAATGAAATCTGACTTGATAGGCGACAGTTTACAATGGCTTTGTTTTCTAGGCTCGTTGATGACGTAATAAAACAGGTCGTATATCACACTTTTGTTTAAACTGACGACAGATTTGACGTTCTTTGTATAAAAAAAAAAACACCTTTATCAATAACAGCCGTTTTGCGTGTTGTGCCGTGACTGGCGATTGTGTTCGGTGTGAAACATTCCCGGTGTCACGACCAAGCAGCCGACAAAAGGTGAAAACTCTTGCCGTTTTTGACATCATCAGCACGTTAAAAACTGGTGTAGCGGACGTTCACTCAGCGCCGTGTGTGGTGGTGTCACAGCGGCTGTCTAAGCCGTAGGTGATATTTTTGTCGGCGACGAAGCTACTACTTATTCAATGTCGCTGTTACACGAGCTTGCCTGTGATGGCGACGCCGAAGCTCTAGAGGAGGCCATTCGGACGACGGGGCTTGACGTCAACGATACGGACATGGAGTGTTCCGGCAAAACGCCGTTACACTGGGCTTGTTATCTCGGGCGACTTGAATGTGTGAAGGTAAGACCATGGAACTAAAACAACGAGGCCCATTGTATGAATAATATCTTGGGCAATATTTTGCGACCCTGATATAGTAGCTCGGAAGCGAGATAACGATTCACCGCTGTAAGTTAAAGCGTGGACCTACAATGATCGACTCATGCCGTTACCAAAAATAGGCAATCATTGAGATCTGAAAGATATTCAGTAGGGGTTGTCAAGCTTGCGAGGCATACTCGTACAGAGTACATTGTAACTAACAACGCCAAAATAACAAACATCTGACTAAAAACTGGTTACTTGTTTACAACTTACAAAGTGAGAATAACTCGCGGCTTTCTATTTAAAGGGCGGTGGTCGTCGCGCCGCGTCCTGTTCGATATGGTATTCATAGCTACGTACACAACGCGTGCAAAATACATTGTTTACACGAAATTCGAACACGCGCTGCGCGACGACTACCGCTCTTTAATTATTTGTTACTTCCAACAAATAACTTTTAAATGCAGAATAATTGGTGTAATTTAATAACATTTACATACGAATGGCCGCCGAGTTCTCGCTAAGAGTCACGAAACTTGATTTTCTCCTCGAATAGTATTTTTCCCGTCATCACGTCTACTGTCCACCAGATCCATGTAACCATTGTATTTGAAACAATGGATGCGATGACGGAAGAGAATGGATCGCTATTGTTGAGAAAATAAAGCAAGTCTCGTTAATCTCTCGCACTCAACGAGATCTAGGTGGCCATTTTGTAGAATGTCTATTGTGGTAACAAGAATTTAACAGTTTACCGAGTACATAACATACAGGAATTTAACAGTTTACAGTGTACATAAAATGCAAGTCATGTGACTCACTCTCAACGAGATCTCGGCGGCCATTTCTGTCTGTCTATTCTGGTAACATGAATTTAAAAGTTTACAGTGTACATAAAATAAAAGTCATGTGACTCTCACTCTCAATGAGATCTTGGCGGCCATTTCTGTCTAATGGTCAATTCTGGTAACAGAAATTTAACAGTTTACAGTGTACATAAAATACAAGTTATATGACTCCCACTCTCAATGAGATCTCGGTGGCGATTTCTGTCTAAGGGCTACTCTGGTAACAGAAATTTAACAGTTTACAGTGTAAATAAAATACAAGTCATGTGGCTCCCACTCTCAATGAGATCTCGGTGGCCATTTCTGTCTAAGGGCTACTCTGGTAACAGAAATTTAACAGTTTACAATGTATATAAAATACAAGTCATGTGACTCTTAGCCATTTCTGTCTAAGATCTATTCTGGTAACAAGGATTTTAACAGTTTACAGCGTACATAAAATACAAGTCATGTGACTCACTCACTCTCAACAAGATCTCAGCGGCCATTTCTGTCCAAGGTCTATTCAATGACATTCATTGATCTGCATGTAACAGTTTATTGTTAAACCCCATAAATAATACTGAACGTTTTACTTCATTACTGCGTTTGTTCAGTGCACATATGAGCAAGATGACAAGATCCTCTCTCGTATAATATCAAATGTATATATATACATAAAATTTCAGGCTTTGATTTCATCGTTATATGATTTTTGAAGGAAATTCACTAAAAGTTATTGAATAATATTGAATTACTGCCCTGCATCTAATACGAGCTTGTACTTTATTGGTATCCGTTTAATTTTGTGATAGTCCACTCCTATAAGTCACGACCTCTAGTGTCAGAGTGATTCTGACTCAACTGCGTCATTTTACACATTTTAAAAATTGCTGTTTACGTCGCTATGATCTTTGAAATGTTACATTTTCTTTTAAGGTTCTTATTAAAAACAAAGCCAACGTATCCTCACGAATGTTCGACGGCAAAACACCGGCACACTGTGCAGCAGAGACGGGACAAATAGAATGTCTTCGTGCACTCATCGCAGCCGGATTCTCCAGTTTACTATTTGATAATTACAGAGACACGCCGCTAAGAATAGCAGAAATTTATGGACGAATGAAATGTGTGAAATTGCTGAAAAGGTAAGAAAAAAAGTGTGGAATATTCAGCTACTAGATTCGTCGTCTGTTTCAGTTCGCAGAAAACGACTATAGCATATTGCCCTGGTAACTTATAAATGTTAAAATATGAAATTGGTAAACAAATATTAAAAATTCATTGCTAATCTCACGAGTCTGATTCAATTTTGTACCACCACCTTTGTGACGTCACGAATTATAAATAGCCGCCGATTCGGTTTTATTACTTGCTTTGACATTTTATTTGTGGGAACCTGCAGTCAGAGGGCGGAACGCAATTAGCCCGTCTTCAATTCATTATATAGTCTTTGTTTTGATTTCGTATAGAGCTGAAGAAGAGGAAATTGAACGACTGAAAGCACGTCGGTTATCTCGACTGTTCGCGTTACATGCCGTCGCCGAGGAAAACGTTGCCACTGAAACGGACATTGCCAAAGCAATCAACATTAAACGTGGATCAATTGCCATGCAGGTTCCATCAGTGAATTTTCGTCGGGGGAGTCGAACTTAAAGGAAACATCAATGCAAACAACATATTGACCCCTAAAGAAAAAGCTTCACAAATGTAGGAGAATGTAATTTACAGTTTTTTTATATCACTTTTCATTCTCTAGATACACCTGTATTCAATTTTTTATCAGTATTATGTAGTCAGCCATCTTGATTTTCAAGCAAAGGGTTGTGGGTAAAGTATGACATAATAGAATCTGTTGTCAGAAATTAGAGACATTAAGATGCGCATACGAGAACGGAACGAGAACGGACACGTCACTGCTTTGTGCATGACCTCCGCGCGAACCAATGACGTCATCGGTTGCCTGGTCGTTCGGCAGTCGTTTTGAACGTGATCAAGGTGACTCACTCGTAGTTGATTTCCGAGAGCTTTTCTCGTTGTCAATTTTGAATAATTTTCATTGACATTGATAAAACGTTTTATATTAGAGTGTTTTTGAATATTTATGATGAAATAAGAAATATTGGATGCATTTTAGCTGACATTTATACCCAGTGAAAACGCATGACATTGATCTGCTGAAAGAGGATTCGGCGGCAAACAGGCTTAGGACCTCAGCAGAGCGGATGGAAATAGTGAGAGCTCTGTCAAATGTCTGTGAACTAACTACTAATTCTGACTCCGGACGTGAAATGACATAACAAATTTTATTAGGTAGTTATTTTGCCCAATGAGAGACGGATTGACATGGTTCTGGTTTCAGTTACGTTCCCGTTGTGGGCGCTTGTACTTAATCGTTTTCTGACACCCGAGAACGTAACGCAAACGCAATTAGAACATCACGTTACGTTCCCGTTACGTACGCAAATCTTAAACTCTCTATTGAGAAAATGATTTCATCTATAACTTCAAAAGTTGAGCTTCAAATTGGCTGAAAGTTTAGAAATTGGTAGCATACATGTACTGGTGCCATCCATGTTTATAAAATAGTTGTCATGGAAACAGAACTGAAAATATTTATTTTTATGTTTTTCTACCAAATGCTTAAATTTACTTATATTGTATACAATTGACCAATATAAAGTAGATTACATAGGTGATATATTACATGTTGAGCCACAAAAAGGGGACAAAAAAGTGTCATTCTATATTTCACGACTAAAATATCGATATTTAGTTTTTTAATGTTTTTTGCAATATCTTCACTTAATGTGTATTTGTAATATTCTAATTTCCATTACTATAATTATATACATGAGTAATATGCACAACAAAAATTTGAACAAATTCGCATCAGTATTTCTCATGTTATAGATGAAATAATTTTCTCAATTTCTGACAACAGATTCTATGATGTCATACGTTGAGGGCGGCATAACAAATGGAAGACAGTAACAGAAGTTGATCCATTGCATACTGAAACGAACCTACTAGGTCTTCACATTCAAACCTCGATTATCCGAACACAGTGGATGGTGATGGATGTGATCGGATAGACCAACCGAACTTTAAATGAAAATAAAATGAAGGACAACAGATGATACCTTGAAATCACGTTTTATTGAAACATTATATTTAAAGCGGAGAGTCGTCACCTGCGCATGCGTCAGATGGCCATAGCGTGTCATTGGTTACAATTATATTACAGCATTGTCAATACCAGCGAATTTTATGACGTCATTGCCACAGATTATTCGCAATAATGTTTTGCATTATTGAGCATCAAGGCCCCGTACCATGCATTTGAATAGAATATTGAGTTCGGGAAACAAATAAAGAGATAGGCATTTAATAATAAGAAAAATTATGGGGTGAAAACGATTAAAATCAAAACTGAAAATGAATAACTCTGAGCTATATGAAAAATAATTATTTGTTCTTAGTTTAAATAAAAAATGTCATTCCCGTCATAACGCCAAACACAAATCTTCGTCTTGCAATCTCAACTTCGCAACGCGTAAATATATAAACGTAGCTCACCCTTTGGCCCGTTTCATCGATGTCGACGAATCCCAGTTAAATGCGCTCGACAATGCATGAACTGAAAAAACAAACTTTACAGCACTAAATAGGGAGTACGTGTTACGCCCCCAATTTTGAAGTCCTTCCTGTCGTTGAGCCCGCCGACTTGCTGCAGGAATGTTACGCTTCAGCTCGCAAGCAAGATGGGGTGCAGTACAGCAAGCCGTCGCTGTTAGTTTGGTTTACAAACTTCAGCCCATCTACACATCACTAGTCCTCCCGATCCGATCAAAATTAACATCATTTAGGAGAAGGAGTTCTGAGTTTGTCTATTTTTTGTACTAGTATACGTGTTATGTTGAAATGTCCGGTGCTTGTGTGTGTGAATGGGGATCATTGCGTGAACGCGTTGAGGGTCATATACAGTATACATATTACAAGGCCCATATAATGTAGACGCGCACAGTCCCTGGGATAGAGGGACTGTGAGACGCGAAACTGTTGAATGTTTTCGTTTCTTCCAAATTATCTCAGTTTTAACGTGTGAAAAATCGCTGGCATTGTCAATTCAACAAAATAATAACAATAATGTACTCCCCAATGGCTCATAATGAACAAAAACACACTTTGCACACTTTTATGAGCCACCAGGGAGTACATTGTTTAAACAAGCGTCTACCCACGAGCCTTTGCGCTTTTATAGTGTGTTGATATCGTCGTTTGGGACTCAATTCCCGCGCCTGCACAGGGGACGACCTTCCCGCTCTAAATTTCTACATTGTAAATGTTATTGAAAAATCATACACAGCTGTGCAGTGTAGTTTTTGTAAATTATTGCATTAGTAAAATAAATATTACATAAATGTGTGAGGCGTTTTTTGTCAAGATTGTTCAGTTTCAGTCAGGGCATGATGTCAGGGTTACCTGAAGAAATGGTCCAGGCGGTGTTGTTTGACTTTCTGTTACTTCTTTGCACTAGCATATAAAACTACTCAGTCGGAACGGAGACTACCGAATATGAATAATTCATGAGATACTAGAGCCTCGTTATCACGGCGAAGTGCGCCCCCATCGTTCGTTATTATACTGAAGGAAATTTTACGAGGAAGAGAATACGCTTGGATTTCTAAACGATCACAAAGTGACAATTATACGATAATGAACGATGAATTTTGCTTTCGTCGATTTAGAATAAATAATTTGTACGTTTTCGTGATTAAGTTAATCTGAAATAAATAAACTAACTACAAATCAACGATGGACGCGTGACAGGAACCAATGTGGGGAATGCGGAAGTGACAACAATAAGACAACTACGCACCTTGTCTTCACGGTCTAGGAAGTCCTTACAGACCTTGAGCCAGCGTGCAAATTTCAGATGTCATTCATAAAAGCGTTAATAAAGTATGGTTAAAATTGTATGATTGTGGACTTCTTGACATGTATTTGCGGCAGTGTTGAACATCGTAATGTCCCCATGTCGGCAACACAAAACATAGTTGAACTCTGGTGACCTTGCCCTTTGTTATATAATATAATTCCCTTTATCATAGTTT